AACATAGAATTAATAGCTTCCGAAAGCTCCGCGCTACTTGTTTTATCGATGCAGCATGTGTCGACCCATACCCATGATAAGTTGTCCTTGATCGCCTGCTGACAGCATCCTTCAATCTTGGCGTAGCCTTGCTTCTGCTGGTGCCCTTCTCTTGTCAGATCTTGTAGCAGAACCTCTTCCTTTCCCCAGGTATGCGATAAGATTGCGTATGGAGGAATTGCATCACCGAAAAATTCCTCGAGTTGCCGTGTGTTGACGTTGAGCAGTCGCATGGCTTGATTGCCGCCTGTACCGACAAGGCTGAGATCGGCTTTGACGTGACGCGTCTGTTTCGTGATCAAGATGGATCGCTGAACAGACGGAGGGAAGCCGCCGTATAGCGACTGTCCTTTCGGGATCAATCAGTGTTTGAAGCAGAGATATACGGTCATGGAGATATCTGAGGAGTGAAGGCCAGGAGACTCCAGGGCTGGATTGTCAGCCTAGAGGAAAGTGCACTTGCTGCTGCATCGAGGCTGAGCCGCAGCCACGTACGTCGCACATTTTCACTACCCACGACCAAAATACAAGACCCTCATGCTGATGGCTATCGGCGAGATGGATCTACTATTCTGGGAAATCCTCTGAAAGTGCGTCTACGATACCTAGGTATTCGTGGCCGTAAAGCGTCGTAGCGGTTCCGGCTCGGTGAAATGCGCTGTACATGCTAGACACCTGCTGCCGAGAAGGCAAAGTTTAACTCGCTGAGCTATACCGGCGATGTGGTGAGTATCCTCAAGTAGGTCAAAGTTGCGAATCGAGGATGCGGATCTGCGCAGCTATCCACATGTTCTTGAGTGCGGAACATTCCGAGCCTCGGCTCGCGATTAGGAAGGGCACCTGAACCCTCGCGAAGGGGCAGGGCGGCGTATGCTGACGCTGATTGTATAATAACGTGTCCATCCCTTGCTGTCGCTAATTAGATCGATAGCCATCTTCTGGTATGGTCACAATGGCGCAGACGGCTAGCATCGTCGTTGCGGGCGCGTCAATGGCAGCACTCGTGTCGCAACCTACTATGAGAGGCAACCTGATGGCTACGATGGCCAGATGGACGGGCTACAACGCGCCTGGCGGTCTATGGAGAATAGCTGCGATTCTTCTCGCATTGGCGAACCTCAAGAATCTGCCATTTGTCTGGCATGTATGTAAATGGCGGAGCGGCAAGACACGCGACTTCGAGCTGACAATATCCATAGCTACGCTTCATCCGCGCCTTGTTCTATCAATTGTACTTCCAACCGACCCCGATCCCTCCGCATGCGCTCTTCCAACCGATTATAACCTCAACGCGTACGACGTTCCTCGAGACAGACTACAACATGCACAAGTCCAACAGCACATACTTTAGCGACATGGACATATCCCGTACACACCTCTTCACCGCGCTCATTCGCAACGGTATAAGAAAGAACAGTCGTCTAGGTGGCGCCAAGAAGAGCGCTGTAGCAGGAGCAATAGGTGCGACTGAAGGTACACGGGGCAAGCATTACATTGCGCTAGGAGGGATAAGCTGTCTGTTCAAGAAGGAGATCCTCCCGTACAAGAAGTACGAGATGTGGACAAGACTTCTGTGCTGGGACAAGAAGTGGTTCTATCTCGTCACACACATGGTCAAGCCTGGCGTCGCACAACCAGAGAGCTGGACACTGCAGCCCTGGAAGAAGTCCAAGCCAGCCAAGGACGTTGACACAGAGAAGCTCAAGGGCGCCATATATGCCACTGCGATTGCAAAGTATGTCGTCAAGCGAGGCAGGATCACGGTGCCACCGGAACACGTCCTGGTTGATGCCGAAATGGTCCCCGCAAAGCCTGAAGGCTGGGTCTACCAAGAGGCTGCAACCGAAGAACAAGGGCCGAATGACGATGTCCTGCCCAAGGCTGTAGAGGCGAAGGATTGGAACTGGGACGTTATCGAGGCAGAGCGACTAAGGGGCTTGAAGGTGGCCGAGCACTTTGCGGCTATGGATGGCATGCATGACTTCTTTGATGGCGGCAAGGAGGGAGTTTTGGGAGAGTTCGCGGATTTGCTGTACTGATTTGGGTTCGATGTGACTGGGCCTAGGAGAGCTTGATACCCTAGATTTGGATCTTAGAACCGCGAGGCTACTGCATCGCTGGTTTTGTCTTGAATGCAAACATTTAAAAATATCCTCTCGTGGGGTAATGATCTCACCCGCATTCACGAGGCACCTGGGCAGTGTCGCGGATAGCGGGCACTAGCGTCGCGCTAAGCCACTGGGACCTGCAGTGCCAGCCAACCTCGAGCGCTGCCTTTGACAATCACCGGTCACCACATGCAGTGGGAGCCGTATTCCGCTATGGCTCAGCCTTGTGGCTTCCAGCTTTTGGATCTCTCCATGCAACTAGCCAAACCCACTGACCAGCAGAGCACAGGTCATCACACATATTCCACCCGACATATTGCTTCGACCTGGTACAAGCAGGCGCGATCGGGCTCACCCTGGCACCCACAGCACTCACATCCAGCCCATCATTGACGTTCGGATTCACGGTATCCTCATTCAACCGGTGCTCCAGCAGTCATGGCCGCGACATCAGGCGTTGCCGCACATGGAGCCGGCCCTGATATGATCTATATCGGAGAGCTCTACGAAAGCATATCGCGTAGTCCCCCAGGTATAGAAGCCAGGAAGCTACTTATCGAACATTACATCGCAGTCGGTAATGAATGGCTGGAAGGTGCATTAGATGAGGCCAAGAAGCTCCAGGCTTTAGCTCCCACAGACCTAGACGTTGTTAGGTTCTTAAAGATTCTCGAAAAACTACCAGAGCCTCCAGCGCCCGCGAAGAAAGCAGTCAATCGGACACAGGCATCTTCTGCCCAGTCCGGAGGCGAACCCTTGAAGAACTATCCATTCACGACGAAACCAATATCGAAACGTGGATCCAAGCGGTCGGACTTCATCTTAGGCGATTCAGTAGATGACCTAAACGATGAACAACGAAGCCTGGTTACTGGGTATCGTGACATACGTGCCAAGGCAACACATGTGTTTGCGAATCTGCTGCGTCTACAGACCCTCCAGAAAAAGGCCGGGTTGCCCCAATCGAAGAACCTCGCTAAGGTCCACCTCATGGCGGATGGGAGTAACGGGGCCGTCTACAGTGGAATGCGCCCACCAGCAAGTGCTCGTTCTGTGGCGCGAAACATCAGAGATAAACCAAAAGAGACTACGAACCTAGTCATCGCAGATCTGGAAGCCATGATTCAATGGGTGCGCGCGCCATATGGCACACCCTCGGGCGCAAGTATCGATACCATTCGTGATACTCTAGTCAAACGCCGGAGCGCCATCGATTCAACGCTCCCGGATGCGCTCAAATTTCATTGCGAGCTTGGTTTTATGCACGTCGAACATGAGCATCTGGAAAGGAACTACGTCAATGACGAAACCATGCTCGGAGATGAGATCAAGGACATCGCCAGAGAGGACTTCTATGTGACCGAGGACAACTATGCGTGGTCGATGGATGGTATGTGACTTCCATGTACGGACTACGATGAGACCCATACTAACTTTGTGCCAACCTTAGAACTTGTTCAGGCTATCCAGGCAAATGGCGGTGTACTCCGCAATCCTCTCAGCAGAGAAATGTTTACTCCGAAAGATGTCAAGGGGATTCTCCTCCATCCAACAGGCAAGTCTCTCGCAGCTCTGCGAGTTGAGCAGCACGAGATGTCCAAGGGCGTGCGGACGGAAACAATCATACAAATGGAGAAGCTCTCAGCGATCTTGCTAGCAGATCAGAGTAGCGATACACTTCCTAGCCGCAGAGCAGTAGACGAGTTTCTTCTATACGTCGCAACGCGTAGGTCTTCCTTCGGCACAACGACAACCAACAGGCTAATATATGAGCAGTACCAGATCTTGAGCAAAAAGCAATCGAAGGTCTCAAGTGTCCTGCCACAGACTCTCACACCGGACAGTCTTATGACTGGTCTATCGGCGAAGCAGTGAAGGATGCGAAAGGAAACCTTGTGTGTTTTCACAAGACAGGCGACTTCATTCGGCAAGCCGCGGCGCATCTGCGGAAGAACCGTGGTGTAGCTGCCGACACCGACGAAGGTAATTGTTCGATCATGTGATATCTTGTAGCAGCTTCATGGTCTCAAATCGGGACTCTCCATGCGTTTCGCATTAGCAGTCCATTGCGTTCTAGAGGTAACAAGATCCATGAAATGTCGTCAGTGGTTGCAACAATGTCTGCCACCCTCAGGCACATTTGCGGCTGAATCAGGCTGGTTCCGGACGCTGCAGTCACGAATCCTTAGATCACACAATCCTACAAGGCATTTTCATACGCCGATTGCTCGATCAACTTTGCCAGATAGCTTTCGTTGACTATTCCGTACATTAGATTGCCATTTTCCTCGCTTCGCTTACCGCTGTCTCGTACCATGGTTAGCCTACACAGTCGCAGTCGCACTAGCCGCTTCGGGGGCCGGTGAATGTGCTTTCCGTATAAGCCACCCTGTTCAGCCTTGTGCGCAGCCCCAAAGTGTCAGTCTCCGCAGAAAAAGGCCACCCATCACATGTGAGCTATAGCAGACTAGCCATGTATCTTTGCCGTAACATCCACTATGCGCCTCCAAGATTTGATGTTCCTCTTCCCTCATCAGCCGACGGTCTATTGGCCGCACCTCTTTGAACACTACCAACCCTATGCTACCTAGGTACTCTGGGTTCCACTATCCTCGTGCGCTTCCAAGGAAAGCGCGATTCTGGTACAAATCCCCATTGTACCAAACTCAACCCCTGCAATTTGCTCGAAAGTTCTCGTGCTTCATTGCCGGTAACCGATACCCACGATTCTCTTGACACCGACCGTTCGTAACTCGACTCGAACTAGCCGTTCCATCTGTATCCATTTTATCATCTCACCCCTGGCGCAGGGCCATTCTTCATAAACGTAGGACAAGCATGGCCACCGCCGTCATGCCTCCTACTGCAGTCGAACAGGATACCGGCAAACGCTCCCATATGTCATGGGCCAAAAAAGCCATACCGTTGAAGAGCACGGCAATCTTCAAGAAGACCGATCACAGTCAAGAATGGCATGCGGAGGTGGAGGCCACTGCTGGGGTACTACACCCCTCGCACCATCGATTCCCATGGGGCTTCATCCGCAATCACACCGATACCTATCTCAAGAAGAAAGGCAAGATCAGCCAAGAAGAGGCGGATAGGAGGCTTTCGATGTTGGTTCAGACACATCCGGCAAGAGACGTCGCCATAGCTTCCGTAGCGCATGCTATGTCCGTGGAGAGCTTGAGCCAATTACTACGAGCTGAAACGAATGTTATGTGTGGAAGCTATTGGGGCCTCGACACTTGGCTACAGAGCGTGATAGCTGCGCATGAAGGCAATCCTGCTTTGGTTACACGTCTGCAAGCAGAATGGGCACGCACACTCTTACCCTATGCGACCACCGGCGCCAGTGCAGCCGGCTGCTATCTGAAGGGCGTAAAGCGAGCCTTGACGAACCACAAAACCCGTAATACGGACGTCGATCTTCACAACTTCGCGGTGCTCTTACGACGAGCTATAAAAGATTATGCGGAGCAGCTGAATGGCTTCCGGTTGACATGTAATTGGGTAGCAGCTAAGAAAGCAGTAGACTGGATGATCGAACTGGACGTGTCGTCGTCTTCGGATTCACCTTTCACCAACATAGAAACTGTCTTCGATTGCCACCACTTCCCGGCCTGGAGAATGTGGGCCTCTTGGAGACCGGATTTTGATCGTATCACGCGTTTCTCTAGGATAGACACCATTCATATGTCGACTATCCTCGACGTCGCAGCTCTGGAAGGACCTGATATGATCACAGGTACTAAGCATACCTTACGTCAGGGTTTGATAGCGGGCTATGGCGAACAAAGGAACTGGGTACACTACCGCGGCCTGATCATCGAGGTCCCTGAGCACACAAAAGCATGTTTATCGACCAGCCTAGAAAGACTCGTGGTAAGGTTGGACGCTGTCTCCACTTCGCTGCCCCAGGGCGAAAGCCTCTTCAATCTGTTTCGAGCATTGACCATCGGCGGAACAATTACGAAGAGCAGCTTGGATCTTTTCGACGCTTCGTTAGAGATTGCATGTACACCGGAGAAAGATAATCATGCCTTCATTCGCGAACTATGGTCCGAGAAGGAGCAAATCGGCGGACTCCATATCCATGCTCTTCAAAAACTCCTCCATCTCCTCAACGCACCAAAAGCGACGGTTTTTCGCGAGCTTTTCCTCCAAGATTGGCTATTCGAGGGCATTGGAGAGTGCTTTCGCGAGTGCCAATCAGTCGTAAAGAATCAGATAAAGACGTCGGCTTGGTTACGCCTTCTACTAGAGCTACACACATTTTGCATGGCTGTGAAAGCATCTGAACATGTATTCTCGCGACTGAAGCCTGCTGTCCGAGCGGATGTCGGCGCATGGCCCAGCGCTAAACGAATGGCATCGATCAAGGAGATATACGTCGCCGCCCAAAATCTACATCAAAACGAATTGCAGACAAGACACACGTTCGTCTGGGTCGATCCTGATACCTCGACCGAGTCCCCCTTATTCGCATCCGATGCGAAAGATCAGAAATCACGGCACGCACTTGAAGAAATCATCGAGAAACACTGTGTCGACCACATGCTTACTGCCGAAGTATCTTGCGACAATACTGAGCAGATATTGCGTGATATCCTTGAAGTCTGGGAGAATACCGGAGAAGGTGTGGATGATGTTGACCGGCGCATGCTAGCTATACTGGTTTCAAGAGATATCGACAATCCTTCTGGACACACGTGCGAATGTATCTATGAGCTCGCAGTAGATCTTAGCTTGGGGCGATCTTCTTCTTTTGTCCGAGACATGGTGCGTATCGTTCGTGTGCAGGAGACGGACTCACGACAAGCCATCATTGCTTTAACGAATACCCTGGCAGCACGGGAAGGTTGCAAAACATGTTGGAGAGGGGTCTTATTAAGATGGCTGAACCAAAGTGAGAAGCAAGAAGCGCGATGGGGCACTGCCATCATCGACCACTTGATCCAAACCATGGATCCTGCGACATGGCTCTCCTTCATGCAATCACTGGAGAAGATCTTCGCCGACATCATTGCCGATAGCACCAACAAACACGAGTTACCGTCTCTACTTCAGCCCCAGATTTTGACTTGGGTATCGCAAGTATCAAAGTTCGGGCCCACCTTAACGAAGCTCGAAGAAGTATCCGACAGTTCATTCGCAGTACGTCAAATGTTATCTTATGGTACCGAACCACAAAGGAAACAGAACCTGGCCATGCTTTCACATCTCCAAAAAGCGGAAGGGAATTCAGCCGAGAGAATTATGCAAAACATTGTCATATGGGTACGCGGTCGAATGTCGGATATGCGCGAGGTCATTGAGTATTTATCTAAACTACTGGACGCACCATATGAGGCTATAGAAGCTTGCAACGAGATTTGGGATGCGAGATGTGGATTTCTGGACATACCTGGTCTTCCTACTCACGAGCAAGCTGTTCTTTCTCGGATCGTCTCGAGAGATGTTGTCTACTACGACGGCGCGTCCAAACAGTACAAGATCATGACGCAACCAGACTCATTGACGCCAAAGAAGAAGAAACCCCTTCAAACAATTGCCAAGCGAAGATACGACATCCCACTAGCTGTGGCTGAGGTCATGGTTGCTGGTTGGATCCAAGACGACGACGTAGCAGCAGAGACGAAAACGATCATCGAACGCCTCGCTCAGCTACTCAAGTTGAAAGTATACAAGCAGACCATCCCTCAAGTCACGCTCTCTAAAGCAACAGAATTCTGGGATAGCATCGAAGCAGAGATCATGCAAGAAGCCGAACGCCTCGAAGGGCTAAAGCGAACACTGAAAGCGAAAGACCCCTTGCAGACAGCCTTGCTGATCGAGGAGTACAATATACCCGATAGCAATCTGCTGGAAGATGAAATACAAGAACTACCTTCCGGCATCATCGATCTAGTTGAACTAATCGATGATGACGAGATTGAGATGAGCTTCACACTCGCTTCCTACACTGAGCTACAACGAAGCGCAATGGGCGTACCGAGCACAGCGAACAACCTTCTCTTACGGCTAACCATCGATCGGTATGGGAGTAAGCCACCCGCGTTCTGTGTGCACTACGACAGTGACAAGGGTATAGAGACTGATCAACATTTCCCGTGGATCTGTGTTGCAACTTCCAATGCACCACACGGTAATGTGTGTTTCTCGAAGCAGAGCGTCTTCGTATGGCAGATGAACAGGCATATCCATCGGTACCTTCGCGCGGGGAACGTATCGTTAAGAGGGCTGTACGGCCTCGTCCAGACTATGATCGGAGAAATGGGGCAAAGATGCATCTCCTGCGGCTGCCGCCACAAAGGGAGGAGCACGCAACTGCGGAGATCTACACCATGTTGGACTGTCGCATGTCAACTGCTATGGTAAGCCATCATCGAACAGAAAGCGTCAATAGTACAATCACTAACCACCGCCGGAACAGGTACGCCCTCCCCCTCGACGTCCGCATCCCCGAAATCCGCACCGACATCTTCGCCGTCGACATGCTTCTCAGCTCTGTCTACAGCGCCGCCATGGCCAACAAAGCCGAGCTCCTCCCTAACTGTCCCATCCACCCCATCAGCACCGTCAAAACCATACTCGATAGTCTCCCCAAACTGTCCGTCATCCGCGACGCAGTCCACATCTCCACTGTCCTATCCAGATACCACGCCGACGCTGAGAAGCTCATCTCATGGGCATGTACGCACTATAGAGGCTATATAGCTACAGCGAACGGTCTATGTAGGATCAAGAATCTGCCTATGGGGACGCATCATTTTGTCCTGGCGAACGCGAGTCCGGCACTGGAAACGGCATATATGGCAAACTTTCCGAGGCCTTCTACGCAGACTACAGTACTATTTCACGGTACATCACTCGACCGCCTCCCAGCAATCCTCGCTAAAGGCCTTATCGTTTGCTCGGGTACGACTCTCCAACGCACGGGCGCTGTGTATGGAAGAGGTATTTATATGGCGGAAGATCCTGCGACGTCGTTTAGTTATGCCCCTGTCTACTCGACGTGGAAGAATAGTGCGCTGGCTAATATGCGTGTTATCCTTGGGTGCGAGGTCGTTGGGCAGGGTAACAGCGTTACTACTGGGGTTCATGTTATTACCGATGAGGCGAGCGTGATGGTGAGGTATATCTTTCTGTTCCGACAGAACGCTCATGCGCCTGTTGCGAATCATGTTGTTACGGCTATGAAGAGTGCGATGGCGGCGATGAGGACGGGTGTCGTGTAGTAGAGGTGGCGATGCGATAAATTGGTGTAAGGTATATTTTGCTTGGAGTGACAGCATGTCATTGAACCATATCAATAACGTTTGCCTTTCGGGCGGACTTCGTTTTGACGTTGCGGTATTGCCACGCCGTTGTGAACCTTTTCTGCGTCAAATAAGGATGCACCCGGTAGCTGCTGACACGAACGTAAAATTCAGCCCTATCTATTTTAACTCTGCCCAGCGATGTCGGGCTTCTTGGAAAAGTCGGCAATCCAATTTTCATGGCTTGTTCAACTATTTCCGATCTTTTGACTGCGTGTTGGACAAATTTGGTGGTGTGGTGAATTAATGTTCTGTTTGCTGATGCAAAATGAATTGTGGTTCTCGCGAGGCGACGAACAGCACCACCTTCCTCAACAGCATGCCCCCCACGACGCGGATGACACGGCATGTTCACATTTGAAAACTCAGATTCACCCTCTATCTGGTGCCATTTGCGCGGGTATCAGAGAAAATACAAACTATGTTGTGCGATGGGTCATATAAGGGTCGGCATAGCATAGCACAACACAATACAGCGTATCTGGATATCACCGATAAGTCCAAGAGACACGTTACATCATTACATTGCAATATGAAGATTTCTGTCATTCAGCATCCGATCTGTAAGAGGTGGATTAGGTGCAGCAGATATGCTTGGCAGCCATAGCGGATAAGACGGCACAATGCTTGTGATTGACACATGGTCTTGTCCCAGAAGCCACATTCATGGCAGAGCCAAGTCGAAACCCCCATATTTCCATGCAATCCTTTACTGAAGTCAGCAAGTACTCAATAGTCTGATGTTAAGCCAAGTTCGTCAGTGACAACACAGCATCCTACAGTGAAGGACTATAGACTTGGCGCGAATGAAATCTAACGCACGCAAGAATCTAAAGGGATATGAAGTAGAGTAGCGCAAAGTAACACATGGTGTAGTCCAATTAAGAAAAGTAACAAGACAAAGTGGCCAAGAGGTTGCACAGACAGGAGATGTATGCTGTGTGGTACACGGTCTCCGCCGAGGCTGGTGTGTCCGCACAGAGCTACTTGGCAGCGGAGGACAAAGACATGTAATCTGCTGACACACTGTTGGGAGAGGAGAAGGAACACATGTACTACTGAACGCTTGGCTTCCCCACGGAGGTGGACTGTGTATACTCTGGGGTAACTGCACTACTAGTCACGGAGTTCTGCTGGTGATGGCTCGCGCTGACACCAAGACGATGTCGAGGTGGCCACTATAATGAATTATAAAGGATGGTAGCCGGAATGAACGGTTGCGTGTGTTCATCAAGAACGATATTGAGGTTGAGCTGCATCATATCGTGGAAGACCAATTTGGACGTCCGCGGCTCGGATAGTCCCGCGAGGGAAGCCAAGGCAATGTCAGAAATGCCGCACCCAAGTGCAACACTTGGAGAAGCTGGGCATACTTTGTCTAAAGTAAGGTGCGGATGGTGAACGATAATGACCCGGGCATGAAGGCATGAAGGAATATGCCCAGGCGGAGAAGGAGGAGAGGCGCACGGCGGACACATTGGATCGTCGGGGGTGTGTGTTCCCAGTGCCAAGGGCGATCTACACAGATCCGTTGCTGACGCAAAATTGATCTGCTACTTGGCGGGCCATCAAACCCATCTGGGGGTGCAACGAGCATAGATTATTTGTGCGCTTGCCCAGACGGGAGAACATGTTATGGCCTCGTGACGATGGTGAAGTAGGTTCTTGGTATGTGATACAGGACCGGTCACGGAAACTCTCTCCACCAGGGGACCGACGCACCGGAGCCAAAGCGACACTTGAACTGGTCGCGCATCAAGGTCTCGCAGAGCTGGCGCCAGTCGAGCGATAGTTCCTGGGCGGTAACATCGATGGCTGGTGAAGGCAGGCGGACGCTCTTTAATTGGTCATCAAAAAGCACAAAGTGGGCTTGCTTGAGCAAACGGTTGCGTTCGGCGTCTGCGACAGCGCCGGGATGGAAGAAAACCTGAGTGAGGCGGCTCGTCAGGTCTACCGTCCCTGCATATGGCCGGCGCAAGGATGGCGTGTCGTTCACAGTTGCCGGTGAAGATAGTTTCAGAACAAGTCTGGCCTTGGAGCTAGCGGGGACAAAAGACGAGGGCTGGAAGCGAAACGACGGCAACTGCACGCGGAAGGTGTGATATGGGGATTGTGTATCACAGCGAAGATCAGGAGGACTGGCATGGTGAGTGAAAGTTTCCCGAGCAGCGCAGGGTGAAACGCGGCTTACAGCAAGTTCCATAGCGTCTGTCCAGCGAAGCGAAGACTGCAGGTACGCGAGACGATGCGCGCGAAGACATCTTGCGCGACATGAGCCAGAAAGGGAGATATCTGGCGCAGCACGAACCAGGCGAAACAGTGATCGTCTATATACATGATGATAATGTGCCATATCTCGACCGGTAAGTCTTCAGGCGACATGACACGCACATGGCGTTGCAATGCGCGTGACGGTCGCGGACCGACAGCGGTATTGGCGGTGGGGGTTGGCGATTCAGGGCTCGGGGCAGACATGGAGAGGTTGGTGTCGGCAGCGGCGACGGAGGGTGATATTTGTGGGTGCGATGATTATTCCCGCACTCGTTCTGGAGGCTGAGGCAATGCGGTGAGGCTCACTGGTGTACCGGCGAAGCATCGGCAGTCGCGCAGCCAAGGGAGGCGAGAGCGAGCCACAGGCAGGACGTCACGTGGCGCGCCGACGCGGCTTCCTCGTTGGGAAGGCCTTCCTCGGTCTGGAAAGAACTGGGGCGCGTTGGCGCATCCATGCCTGCAGCCTCACGACAGCCAAGTCATCTCGGTCGCGATCCAAATTCAACAGACAGGACCCTGCGCAACGTCGTGTGTGCGTAGCATCGCAACGGCGCCATGGGACGTGTGGAGTCGCAGATAGCATGTATTGTATGACCACAACATGGGGTGTAATTGGGAGCCGTTGGCCAGGCGACGCTGGGCGGCTGGGGGCCTCTGATTCGGCCGATATGGTCGGGTGGTGGACAGCTAAGGCTGATTCGAGGCAGGCCCCGAGACGCCCCTTAGCCGCTTGGCACGTGCTTAATCATGGAGTGCGGTCCTTTGTGCAGAAGCGGCGGCGGTCGATTACGCGGGGGGCAGAAAACAATTGCTTCATCTGGGCATGCTGGTCGCGCGCGCTGCATGGGGGGAGTCGGATATTATGGCGCGGCGGCTGCAGTTGAGGGAGTTGGGATAAGTGGCATATCTTGGTTCGTGGGTCTGGAAGGCCGCTAGAAGAAAATTGTGCAAATGCGAAAGTCGGAAAGTCGCGCAGGCAGCGTGGGGAGCAGTCTGGATACGCGGCTCTCTCGTACGGGGGGAAAATGCCTCGCACTCTGGCTGAGATCGCGCCAAGCACTCAAGCTTTCCTGCGTGTGAGTGCTGAAGCTTGGTGCGTCCGGAGTGAGCAAGGTGCGTGGAGGAGCTGTTTGCCGGTCGCTCTTGCCAAACGTCATGGGAGCTGATCCCTGCAGCGCTGCACGCTTGTCGCGGACTGTCGCGCTATCTCCAGCTTAATCTCTGCTGCCGCTGGTGGAGAAGCAATGAACCGCGCTGCGAATCGCGACGCCGGCTGCTGACATCCCAATTGCTGTCGGCTGGTGCCCGTCGAGGTACCAGAGTCTGCGCACACAGCAACCGCAGTCGCAGCCGTACAGCATCGTAGTAAGCACTCCGTCATCAGCGCATCACGCTCGGCCGGGCGCTGCGACGGCCAATCTCTGCGCCATGTCGCGCGCCGATGATGTAGCGGCTGGCGCACGGGCCGCTCACAACAAATTCACCCCCGGGACTCTCGGCTCGAGCTAAGCTCCATCCGCGGTTAGCTTTATGACAATCATAAATCCCTCATAGCGGCCAAAGGTCGGTCCTTGCTGAGTTTTTCCCTGGGTTGATACGTGGGTGAGTTTCTGCCGCGCTACTTAACCAGAGCCTCTCCCGCACCCTCTGCACTTTCTTCACAGAGAAGGCCCTGCTTGCAGTTACCCATTTGCACAGCACATTCGACCTGACACTCAACCTCACCGTCAAGTCGCCTCGGAAAGCCTTCTCTGTGCCTAGAGTTACCGGATATAATAATACATACGAGCAACAGCATTCCTTAATTCGACAAGATGGCGCCCAACGACGATGTTGAGCGCCCCCGCGCCTCCAGCGCCGCTGAGCGGCAAAAGTCCATCGTCTCCATGACCGAGTTCGAGGGCATGGACGAGTACACGGCGCTCCAGAAGTACATCCTCTTCTACCGCGACACCCGAACCAACCCGCACGCCGAGCAGACCCAGAAGAAGAAGGCCTGGTGGCAGTTCTGGAAGTCGGGTTCTCCCACCGCCGCCACTCCCATCCAGGACGCCGGCGCTGTCCCTGACGACTGTAAGTTTTACCAATCTCTCCCTCACAACATCCGTTTGCAGCAATGCGCTGCGGCGCGTCACCTGCCTCGCCAATTCATCCTTTGTTGAGCTCGAGGGCCGACATCTGGTGGCTGGCGCGGGCCTGGTCCGCGCTCAAGCTGCTCCCTGCTAGCGACGCGATAGCGGCCTCCTCGGTGGAGCCAATCATGCAGACCGGCTCCACCAAACTACCCGCTTCTGCAGCATGCGAGATG